AACTCTAAACTTTACCCAACAGGGTTAAATTTTTTTTAAAAAAAATTAGATAAGGGCATTTAGCTCTACAATTGAGAATAATTGCATTCAATTATCAATATATTTTTTTATGTAATGTGAAAAGTAAAACACTTTTGCCAAAATGAATATTGATTCAGAGGCCGAATGTTTAGGTGGGCAAGGGGTTTAAGGTGGGCCCCAAATGCGTGGTTGCTACTCCAAGCATTAAAAAATGGGTTCTTCTTCTTTTCACTCCCTTTTTTTCTTTTTTCTTTTTCTTTTTTTTTTTTGAGAAGTCTCCTTTTTTTCTTTGTTGTTTTTTAATTTATTTTTTTCAAATCTTATCGCTAAACTTTTTTTAATTTTATAATTTGTCTTTGCATTTTATTTTCATTATAAAATTTTTTATGTTTCAGATAATGGAATTTTAAATTCCCACTTTAGCCAATCAAATTGCATTTTTTTTGTTTGATTGGAAAAAAAAAAGCAATTTGATATAAATAAATCAAACTTTTAATGATCACAGGACAAACTACATTTTGTTAATTAAATAAATTTGTGAAAATGAAAAACACAAGGAAAATACTTATCTAAAAAGAGAAACACAATAACATTAATTATAAGTTCAATCTCTTCAAAAATGTCTCGAGAAATAATCTAAGAACAAATCTTGATGTAAGTAATTAACAATCCACAGAATGAGATTAAACACCAAAAACTAAAGCCGAAATTTTTGATGAAGTAATTATTTAGACACCATTCTTGATCGAAAATGCTTTAACATTTTCACATTTTCTGAACACACGAAGAAAAAAGAGAAAATCTTACAAAAAGGGTTTTGAAGAAAACTAGAAATTCAAGACCAAGCGCTTGGCGCATAGAGTGCAGAAATACTTTCTCTTGATTATGAAGCAAATGGGTATGAAACAGAGCTTCCACCGCCTCTCCACGTCCAACGCTTCCACTTTGCCGCCGCAGTACGGGCACGATCCGAGAGCTTGCTGCCGTCCCAGCTCCTCCTCTTTTTCCGATATCAAGCACATTTGCTGATTCCTTCTTGATCTGGACTCCTGGGGAGGAAGACGCTCGAAAGAGCTTTAAAAAAGTGTCAGAAAAAGACTACTTCATCGCTATTTATTATTTATATAAATACGGTTGGCTCACAGAATATTCACATGGGATTACGTTTACCACTTGTCATAATAATTATTTTATTTTACTTTTACCCAAATTTTTTTCGGAGCTTATTTGGTGTGACTTGAGAAAGTTTTTACATTTTGACTATTGTTATGAGTAATAAATTTAAATTTTTATTAAAAAAATAGAGTTTTTACTTTTAGAAATATAAAAAGTATATGAAGAAGTAAGTAAAAAAAATTTATAAAAAGTTTAAATTTAAAATTTTAAATTTTTACTGTTTAAAATTTTTTTAAAATTAAAAAAATTTTAAAAATATAAATTTTTTAAAAAAATTTAAATTCATAAAATATAAATAGTATGAAAAACTGAAACTCTTAGGAGTTGATTCAAGCCGCCCTCGATATAAGTTGTGTTGGACCACGTTTGGTTTGGAGGATTTTTTTTTTCTTGATAAATTATAAGGGATAAGATAAAAATTATATAAATTTCTTTGAGGTTATGATTAATTAAGCTAAGTGTGGTTATTATTACTATTAATATTGGTTAAGTCTATTCAAATTTTCATTTTTTTATATAGCATTTGAAAATATTAATTTTTTAATTAATTTTAATTTATTAACTAATAAATGTAATTATTCTTTTAGTTATTAGTTACTAATAATTATAATTATTAATTATTTTTATCAATAAAATTAATATTTTTGAAAATAATATTTTACAATTTTAATAATTATAACTTTATTATTAGTAGTTTTAATTATTCAGATTAAGCTTTATTATTAATAGGGCTTAACCCCCTAAAATCCCTTCAACAATTTGTGGGTTAAAATACACAAAATACATGTTAAGCGGCCATAATCTCAAAAACAAACAATTGGAGAGCTTATGACCATTTATGCCTATTAATAATCATTTACAAATTTAAAAAGGAGTGAGAGATAAGTCTTATCACTTTCACACCTTCCACTAAGAATGACGGGTTATTCCTTACTTCTTCCCTAATCTAAATCTACTTATGAAAGAGATGTTCTTATTTCTTTTCTAATCTTAGTTAATTTCAATGAAAGAACTGGAAAACGCAGACATAATTATTGAAGATTTTATGAAGATAATTAATGACAGATTGGACAAAATCAAATTAAATTAAATCAAGGTGCATGTAAATTGAATATCAATTTAAGTAATTAGAATCTTAATTCTTTTATCGATTTAACTGATTTTATTAAGTTACAACTTTTTTCTCATGAAAAATTGGTTATGTTAGGGTGTTTTTTAACATTCAAATCAAATAAAATTTATAATAGTAAAATCTTATGTATTACAGTTTTTATTTAAACGAATTGACTCTTTAAATTTAATAATTCATTTTTAAATTTTCATGCGTGGGTTCAATTGGTCAGGAGTTTAATTTCTATCAACGGCTTGAAAAATATCTCACTTTCTCAATAATTTCCCATGTAACAAAATAATAAAAAAAAAAAGAACTTTTATTTGAACTTTTACGTATGAATGTAGCTTATCACCTATAATGGTCAATTTCAATGGTGAAACTATGTAAGAACCATGCTTCTAAAAGTTTTAAAAATGAGGATCAAGCCAAGACTTCATTTAGGAATGCAATGTTATGGCTGTGGCAGTGGATTTTTGTAGAATATTCTTAAATAAAGCCTACAATTTTACCCCAAAAAAAAAAAATGTTAAAAGGCCTTCCCTTTAATCTTTGTGCAGAAAAAAAAAAAAAAAAAAACTAAAGCTCAAATTTGAAAAAAAAAAGAGAAGCCCTATCCTTAAACTATTATTAGTTTTGCTATTGGCCGGTTAAATTATTTAATCTTTTACTCTTCAGCCTAAACTGTACACCTTTATTTTTCATATTTTTGTTAAGAACAAAAATATTCTAGTTATTGTACCAAAAAAATATATTATAGTTATAACATTATATAAAATTATAATATTATAATCATGATATAATATTAAAAAAATATGATATGTTATTAAATAAATTGATATATACGATATTATGACAATAGATATCTAAACGAAAAAAACAAATTATATAATAATATATCATATTATAAACTAATAATAACACCTAACATTGTAACTATATCATTTTCTCTCACAATGGGGCTGCGATGGCTATGGGAGACCAAGATGGTGATTGCA